GAGCGTCTCCACCCACATTGTTCAGCCCGGACACTGAGATCCAGTGCCGAGGGCCTTCTGGCGGTTCCCTCATTGTGAGAAGTGAGGTTACAGGGAACCAGAAAGAGGGCCTTCTCGGTAGTGGCGCCAGCCCTGTGGAACACCCTCCCTTCAGATGGTAAGGAAATAAGCAGCTATCTTCTCTTTAAAAGACATCTGAAGGCAGCCCTGTTCAGGGAAGTTTTTAATATCTAATGCTGTATTGTTTTTAACATTTGATTGGGAGCCGCCCAGAGTGGCTAGGGAAACTCAGCCAGATGGGCGGGATATAAATATATTATTATTATTATTATTATTATTATTATTATTATTATTATTATTCCAACATTCTGCTTCATTTGCTGCCCATGAGCCTTGGCGTTAGGAGAGAAACTTTTCTCCTCCCTCCACTTGCTCTGGAGGCCTTTGAAGTCCCCATCAGTCACGCAGCCGGATCTGATGGACGGGAGTTGTGACGCAAAACGTTTGGAGGGCACCAGGCTGGCAAAGGTTGCCTTGCGGGAAGGGAGTTGGCCAGAGGCAAACGTAATCTGCCCTTTGTACTCGCTTGGAAGCCCCCCCCCCCGCCTTCTCCAGACACTTCCTGGTGATGGACATGACAGAGGAGCCGAGAGCAGCTCCATCCCTGGTCGCCAGGGTTACCTGCCTCCCTCTGGCTGCGCACAGGAAATTAAAACCACCCGCGATAGCATATCACTATCAGCCCTAAATGGCAGCTCCTAGGCATCGGTGGCCGTGTTTGCAGGGGTTGTCTATGCGTCTGTGTTTGTGTCAGAGGAAGCTATAAAAGAAAAGGCGTCTAGCACAGCTGTAGGTTTTTTTATATTAGCTTTTGAGTCACTTGGAGATGGGGCAGGGAGCTTTTGATGGCCTTCGAGGGTGGGGACCGCTGCCCGAAAGCCCTTTTGTTCTTATTCAGATTGGCTCTTGCACAGGCACTGTGTAAAAAGTACAAAATGAAGTCCAGCTACGCCTTTATGCACAGACTTCCTTCCCTTCCCTCCTTCTGGAGGGCAGGTAACCCAGAGTGGGAAAATTCCAGACGGCAGAAAATGTGCGATTCTGGTGCCGCCCCTTTCGACTTTCCCCATCTGCTTTACGGTTTGTTTCTTTGCTTTCACAATAGTCGTGCGAGGGAGGCAGCTGCTGTACCCATTTTACAGATGGAGAACTGAGACAAAGAGGTTGCTCGGTGAGGTCATGGCAGCCTCATTGCAAAAGGGATGCTTTTTAGAGCATCTACCTTTGTATGCCAGGTCCCAGGTGCAATCGCTGCCATTTCCCAGGAAGGACTTAGGAGAGTGCCCTGTCTGAAATAATAATAATAATAATAATAATAATAATAATAATAATAATAATAATAAAAAATACCCCGCCCATCTGGCTGGGCTTCCCCAGCCACTCTGGGTGGCTTTCAGCAAAATATTAAAATACAATAATTCATCAAATCTTAATAGGGCTGCCTTCAGATGTCTTCTATTTTTTTTTTTATATAATATTTTTTATTGCTTTTTCCCCAAGGTCAAGATACATCATCAATAACACAACAAAAGCGGTTTTACAGAAAAGAATAAAAGATTGTATACAAGAAAATTCATTTTTTCAAATCTTTTTTCATAATCAACTGGACTTCCCCAGATCTTTCGTCCCTGCTTTCTTTACAATAAAAATAAACAGCAAATTGCAACCTTGTTTCATATGTTTTTGTACTTTCTTCTAATTATATATTCTAAAATTTAAAGCTTTCACAGTCATAACTTAGTTTCCATCATTCTCAAATCTCAATACTGAAGCATGTTCTTCCCAAAAACTTAGCAAATTCTCAACATTCATATAACTTATAGTGTTTTTGTAGATAGTCCTTAAATTTTTTCCAGTCCTCTTCCACTGCCTCTTCTCCCAGGTCTCGGATTCTGCCAGTCATTTCAGCTAATTCCATGTAATCCATCAGTTGCGTATGCCACTCTTCCAGCGTGGGTAACTCCTGTGCCTTCCAATATTTGGCTATAAGGATTCTTGCTGCTGTCGTTGCATATAAAAAGAAAGTTCTATCTTTCTTTGGTACTCTCTGGCCCACAATGCCCAGGAGGAAGGCCTCTGGTTTCTTATGAAAGGTATACTTATATACCTTTTTCAACTCATTATAAATCATTTCCCAAAAAGCCTTCACCCTCGGGCATGTCCACCAGAGGTGAAAGAATGTTCCTTCAGCCTCCTTACATTTCCAACATTTATTGTCTCCTTCAGATGTCTTCTAAAAGTCAGGTAGGTGTTTACTTCCTTGACGTCTGTATCGTTCCAATTTTAGTATATGTGCTGCCGAAGCGAGCACAGTTATTTCCTTGACATCTGGTGGGAGGGCGTTCCACAGGGCGGGCGCCACTACCGAGAAGGCCCTCTGCCTGGTTCCCTATAACTTGGCTTCTCATAGTGAGGGAACCGCCAGAAGGCCCTTGGCGCTGGACCTCAGTGTCCAGGGTGAATGATGGGGGTGGAGACGCTCCTTCAGGTATAGTGGGCAGGGTTGATGCCAGTCAGGGTCGATAAGACTGACCTGGGTGGGTCTGTGGTTTGACTCTGTATAAGGCAGCATCCTGTGCTCCTAAGCTGAGACACAAACTAAAATCTCACAGTTCCAAGTCTAACGGGGCTCCTGGATCCTTTGCTGTCGCTCGAGGCTCAGGTGGTCTTAGTGGCCCTCAGTGCCTTCTATCAGCTTTGGCTAGTGGCCCAGCTACGCCCCTATCTGGGCAGGGCTAGCCTAACTACTGTTGTCTGTGCTCTGGTAACCTCAAGGTTGTTGTTGTTTAGTCGTTTAGTCGTGTCCGACTCTTCTTGACCCCCTGGACCAGAGCACGCCAGGCACTCCTGTCTTCCACTGCCTCCCGCAGTTTGGTCAAACTCATGCTGGTAGCTTCGAGAACACTGTCCAACCATCTCGTCCTCTGTCGTCCCCTTCTCCTTGTGCCCTCCATCTTTCCCAACATCAGGGTCTTTTCCAGGGAGTCTTCTCATGAGGTGGCCAAAGTCTTGGAGCCTCAGCTTCACGATCTGTCCTTCCAGTGAGCACTCAGGGCTGATTTCCTTCAGAATGGACATGTTTGATCTTCTTGCAGTCCATGGGACTCTCCAGAGTCTTCTCCAGCACCAGAATTCAAAAGCATCCATTCTTCGGCGATCAGCCTTCTTGATGGTCCAGCTCTCACTTCCATACTTCACTACTGGGAAAACCATAGCTTTAACTATACGGACCTTTGTTGGCAAGGTGATGTCTCTGCTTTTTAATCTATGGCCCGTTAAATTGGGGCGGTAGTGAGGGAGGACTGTTATTATTTAAGCTGTATTTTAAGCCGTATTTTAATTAACCGTTTTTGGTTTTTTTCTATTACGTTTTATTGTAATTTATTTTTGGTGTTGGCTGCCCTGAGTCCGGCCCTGGCTGGGGAGGACAGGGTATAAATAAAACACCATTATTATTATTATTATTATTATTATTATTATTATTATTATTATCTGTGCATTAATGTTGTGCACTGCCGCAGGATCTTTGGATAAAGAGCAGTCTATAAATCAATCAAATAATAACTAAATAAGTCTGTAGCCGCAGGCCCATGTTCGCAGAGGTAATTTAGCTCATGTATATTCCTTTATGAGGACTAGATGCTTGTTTTAAAAGGGATGGGGATTGTTCTGTTGGTGCAAGCATTTCAGCTTGCCAGGCAGAACAATCGCACTTCTCTTCCCTTGCACACCGTTCTGCGGGGTCTTAGCCAATTGTGGGGGGCATTGCGTGGGTGTTTGTGTGTGTGGCGAGGGCGGGGAGTGGAAGCAGAAAGCCCAATTTGCAAACAGAAGTAATTGCCCAGGGCTTCCGATGATTAGATGAATCTCTCCCATAAAACTAGGCCAGCCAGATGCAGAAATCTGTGCCTGTGTCACAGAAGTACAAATGTGCAGAAATATGATATATATAATTGGGCCAAACAAGGATCGATACCAGATATTTGGTTTGGAGACAACCCAGGTGGGAACAGCGAGGGCGGAAGCAGTCAAAACAAACCGTTCTTCCTTCACCGTAATCAGGAGCAACTTGGTAACTACTAAGGAGAGCCAGTGTGGTGTAGTGGTTAAGAGCGGTGGACTCGTAATCTGGTGAACCGGGTTCGCTTCCCCGCTCCTCCACTTGCAGCTGCTGGGTGACCTTGGGCTAGTCACACTTCTTTGAAGTCTCTCAGCCCCACTCGCCTCACAGAGTGTTTGTTGTGGAGGAGGAAGGGAAAGGAGATTGTTAGCCGCTTTGAGACTCCTTAAAGGTAAAGGTAAAGGGACCCCTGGCCATTAGGTCCAGTCGCGGGCGACTCTAGGGTTGCGGCTCTCATCTCGCTTTATTGGCCGAGGGAGCCGGCGTACAACTTCCGGGTCATGTGCCCAGCATGACTAAGCCGCTTCTGGCGAACCAGAGCAGCGCACAGAAAGGCCGTTTACCTTCCCGCTGGAGCGGTACCTATTTATCTACTTGCACTTTGACGTGCTTTCAAACTGTTAGGTTGGCAGGAGCAGGGACTGAGCGACGGGAGCTCACCCCGTCGTGGGGATTCAAACCGCCGACCTTCTGATCAGCAAGCCCTAGGCTCTGTGGTTTAACCCACAGCGCCACCCACATCCCCTTAAGACTCCTTAGGTAAAGGTAAAGGGACCCCTGACCATTAGGTCCAGTTGTGGCCGACTCTGGGGTTGCTGCGCTCATCTCGCTTTATTGACCGAGGGAGCCGGCGTACAGCTTCTGGGTCATGTGGCGAACCAGAGCAGCGCATGGAAACGCTGTTTACCTTCCCGCTGGAGCGGTACCTAGAGTAGTGATAAAGTGGGATATCAAATCCAAACTCCTCCTCCTCCTCCTCCTTCTCTTCTTCTTCTTCTTCTTCTTCTTCTTCATCATCATGTGCTTTGTTTAATTTCAGATGTACTAAACGATGCCATATTTGATGAAGATCACGACGAAATGGTGATCGTGAAGGACATAGACATGTTCTCGATGTGCGAGCACCACCTGGTTCCATTTGTGGGAAAGGTAATTTTTGACTTCCGCTCCCCTTTCTTGCTGTTTTTTTTTTTATTTAAAAAAACGAACCACACACAGAGAATGAGCAGGCGTATGAATCTGAATGTTTGGTTCACCAAAGCCTTGAGGGATTCCATCAGCAAGTTATCGCAGAATCGTAGAATCGAAGAGCCGAAAGTTACCCGCAGGGGTCATCTCTTCCATCTCTCCCCTGTCATTCAGGGATCTCAGCTAAAGCAGCCATGGCAGATGGATGAAAAGGAGTGAAAAAAAGGAAAAGTAACACAGGCAACGTCTACGTGTCTGGGTAGACTTGTCTGAACAAAAATGTTTTAAGCGGGTGCCTTCTTGAAGCACGTTTGTTGTGGGATTAGCTGTGTGAGGATGATTGTCATTGTCTCATTGATCTTTAATAATAATAATAATAATAATAATAATAATAATAATAATAATAAATTTTCTTTATAGCCTACCCTCCCCGGCCAAAGCCGGGCTCAGGGTGGCTAACACCAGTAAAATTACACTAAAAACATAAAAGAAAAAAACCCAGTTTAAAATGCAATTTAAAATGCAGTCTCATTTTAAAAGTAGCCCATAGATCAAGACCATAAGGGGAGGGAAACATAAGGGTCAGACCGAGTCCAAACCAAAGGCCAGGCAGAACAGCTCTGTCTTGCAGGCCCTGCGGAAAGATGTCAAGTCCCGCAGGGCCCTAGTCTCTTGTGACAGAGCGCTCCACCAAGTCGGGGCCACTGCTGAAAAGGCCCTGGCCCTAGTTGAGATCAATCTAACTTCCTTGAGGCTCGGGACTTCCAAAATGTTGTCATTTGTGGACCTTAAGGTCCTCCGCGAGACATACCAGGAGAGGCGGTCCTGTAAGTATGAGGGTCCTAGGCCGCATAGGGCTTTAAAGGTCAAAACCAGCACCGTAAACCTAACCCTGTACTCCACTGGGAGCCAGTGCAGCTGGTAAAGCACTGGATGAATTTGATCCCGCAGCGAGAACCCCGTAAGGAGCCTCACAGCGGCATTCTGCACCCACTGGAGTTTCTGGGTCAGCTTCAAGGGCAGCCCCGCGTAGAGCGAGTTACAATAATCAAGCCTGGAGGTGACCGTCGCATGGATCATAGAATCACAGAATCATAGAATCATAGAATCATAGAGTTGGAATAGACCACAAGGGCCATCGAGTCCAACCCCCTGCCAAGCAGGAAACGCCATCAGAGCACTCCTGACATATGGTTGTCAAGCCTCTGCTTAAAGACCTCCAAAGAAGGAGACTCCACCACACTCCTTGGCAGCAAATTCCACTGTCGAACAGCTCTTACTGTCAGGAAGTTCTTCCTAATGTTTAGGTGGAATCTTCTTTCTTGTAGTTTGGATCCATTGCTCCGTGTCCGCTTCTCTGGAGCAGCAGAAAACAGCCTTTCTCCCTCCTCTATGTGACATCCTTTTATATATTTGAACATGGCTATCATATCACCCCTTAACCTCCTCTTCTCCAGGCTAAACATGCCCAGCTCCCTTAGCCATTCCTCATAAGGCATCGTTTCCAGGCCTTTGACCATTTTGGTTGCCCTCCTCTGGACACGTTCCAGTTTGTCAGTGTCCTTCTTGAACTGTGGTGCCCAGAACTGGACACAGTACTCCAGGTGAGGTCTGACCAGAGCAGAATACAGTGGCACTATTACTTCCCTTGATCTAGATGCTATACTCCTATTGATGAGGCCCAGAATTGCATTGGCTTTTTTAGCTGCCGCGTCACACTGTGGCGAAATCAGGGCGAGAGAGGTAAGGGACCAACTGCTTGATATGGCGGAGATGGAAAAATGCCACCTTTGCTGTGGCTGCAACCTGCGCCTCCGTGGAAAGGGAGGCGTCGAAGGTTACACCCAAGCTCTTGACAGAAGGCGCTGGCACTAATTGAGCCCCCGCATGATTGATTTGCATGTAAATCCCACCTTTTCCCTCCCAGGAGCTCAAGGAGACGTACGTGGTTCTCCCTCTCCCCAGTCAATTCACACAACAACCCTGTGAGGTTGGCTAGGCTGAGAGGAGGCAGGGACCAAGCCCAAAGTCACACCTACTGAGCTTCATGGCCGAGTGTGGGGATTTGAACCCTGGTCTCTGCCAGGTTCCAGTCTGAAACTCTTAACCCAGAGTTTCCCAAACTTGAGTGTCCAGCTGGTTTGGACTACAACTCCCATCATCCCTAGCTAGCGGAACCAGTGATCAGGGATGATGGGGGTTGTAGTTCAGAAAATCCTGGAGAAACAGCTTGGGAAACCCTGCTCTAACCACTACAACACAGGGCTGTCTTTCGAGTCCTCGTGGAACAGGATACTTGGGTAGTGTTTGGTATTGTGCGAGAAGCAAGTGTTGACCTTAGCCACATGGGGGCAAGCCAAGGGCTTCATTGCCTGTTAGTTTTGCCTGCGGCTCTGTTTCACCTGCAGGACGCAGGTGGCGCTGTGGGTTAAACCACAGCGCCTAGGGCTTGCCGATCAGAAGGTCGGAGGTTCGAATCCCGCTGACGGGGTGAGCTCCCGTTGCTCGGTCCCTGCTCCTGCCAACCTAGCAGTTCGAAAGCACGTCAAAGTGCAAGTAGATAAATAGGTACCACTCCGGCGGGAAGGTAAACGGCGTTTCCGTGCACTGCTCTGGTTCGCCAGAAGCGGCTTAGTCATGCTGGCCACATGACCCGGAAGCTGTACGCCATCTCCCTCGGCCAATAAAGTGAGATGAGCGCCGCAACCCCAGAGTCGGTCACGACTGGACCTAATGGCCAGGAGTCAGGAGTCCTGTTTCACCTGCAGCTGAATTTTCTGCAAATTTTAAGTCACCGCTGCCGAATTTGCTGCCCAGAATTGCCACCCGGAACCGAGCGAATGCTGGTGCAGAGCTCAGCACTGATCTAGCCGGCAACTGGCGTCTGGGTCATAGCTGTCAACGTTTCCCTTTTTTAAAGGGAAATTCCCTTATTCCGAATAGGATTCCTCGCAAGAAAAGGGAAACGTTGACAGCTAGGGTCTGGGTAGGTGGGTGGGACTCAGTGTTGGCAGACCGCTTTTCCAGTGCCGGATTCATAAACCCAGACTCAGGAGCCAAGGAAACCCGAATTGCGTAAAAGAGGATAAATGGCACGAGTTGAAATTGCGTCTCTTTGCTCATTTAGTACAATTTGCTTTGCTTCAAAGCGAGTTTTGCAAGGAAGGGGGTGGTGGTAAACAGAGGAGAGCTCAAACAAGCTGTTTCCTGTGAAAGCGTAACTTGCTTGTTGCACATTCAAGATCCAGGTTTTTAGAGAACGGGTGGTGTGTGTGTGTGGAGAGAAAGAGAGGGTCTCTCTGATGTCTCCCTGCAAATCCTCCCAGTTCTGTTTCTGGAGACCTTTCCTTGAAGTCTTTGCCGACTTCCCTCTGGAAAGGTTGCCCCCACTCTCTTTGCGCTGCTCTTGCCTCCTTCATCATAGCTCCTGACATTTCATTTCAAAGCCCTTCGTCCCAGCAGCCTTCCTCGAGGGCAGACGTCTGTGCATTAAACCTGATTGCCCTGGACATAAGCTCTGATCTCTTCCAGGTCACACGAACCGTCAGTTTAAAAGGCAGCATCGCAGGAGCACAAAACCTGCTGTGAGCAATAAACTTCTGCTTTATTCCGCCCCCCCTCTATTTTTTATAATTTTTTAACTAGAGAAGCTTTTTCCAAAAGATTCAAAAGTTCTGGATGCTGGAAGCTCAGAATCTAATCTGTGCTCAGATTTATTATTATCATTATTGTTTATTATTATTATTAGTACTACTACTACACAAATGGGACGCGGGTGGCGCTGTGGGTTAAACCACTGAGCCTAGGGCTTGCCGATCAGAAGGTCGGCGGTTCGAATCCCCGCGACGGGGTGAGCTCCCGTTGCTCGGTCCCTGCTCCTGCCAACCTAGCAGTTCAAAAGCGCAAAGTGCAAGTAGATCAATAGGTACCGCTCTGGCGGGAAGGTAAACGGCGTTTCTGTGCGCTGCTCTGGTTCGCCAGAAGCGGCTTAGTCATGCTGGTCACATGACCTGGAAGCTGTACGCCGGCTCCCTTGGCCAATAAAGCGAGATGAGCGCCGCAACCCCAGAGTCGTCCACGACTGGACCTAATGGTCAGGGGTCCCTTTACCTTTTACTACTACACAATAAGGAAAGAGCTGGGGGAGCAAAAGGACTCTTCCCCCATCGCTGTGGAAGGAAAGACAAGTAGAGAGGAAGCAGGATAGAGCCCCAAATCTCTGGCGACGCCTTGAGCCTTCTAGCATGATTATGGTTTCATTACTGTCTACCAGCTCCATTTGGTACGCAGGCTGAGACCCTCCCTGCCTGCGGACTGTCTCTCCAGAGTGGTGCATGCTCTGGTTATCTCCCGCTTGGACTACTGCAATGCACTCTACGTGGGGCTACCTTTGAAGGTGACCCGGAAACTGCAATTAATCCAGAACGCGGCAGCTAGACTGGTGACTGGGAGCGGCCGCCGAAACCATATTACACCAGTCTTGAAAGACCTACATTGGCTCCCAGTATGTTTCCAAGCACAATTCAAAGTGTTGGTGCTGACCTTTAAAGCCCTAAATGGCCTTGGTCCAGTATACCTGAAGGAGCGTCTCCACCCCCATCGTTCTGCCCAGACACTGAGGTCCAGCGCTTGAGGGCCTTGTGGCGGTTCCTTCACTGCGAGAAGCCAAGTTATAGGGAAGCAGGCAGAGGGCCTTCTTGGTGGTGGCGCCTGCCTGGTGGAACGCCCTCCCATCAGATGTCAAGGAAATAAAAAAACTACCTGACTTTCAGAAGGCATGTGAAGGCAGCCCTGTTTAGGGAAGTTTTTAATGTTTGACGTTTTAGTGTGCTTTTAATACTCTGTTGGGAGCCGCCCAGAGTGGCTCAAAATAAATTATTATGATTATGATTATTATTTACACAACATGCTCAGTGTGCATTGTAGCCAATAAGCGGGGCAGGTCCATGCCTCAATGAACTTAACAATCCAAAATGAAACACCCTGGGACCCAGACCAAGAAGACCAGAGATACAATAACAATTGGAATAAATTTATTGAATATATAAAGGAGAACAAAAAAAATATTAAGACACTAGCAGGACTGGAATAACACCTCCAATATAAAACAGTAGAGTTATGACAATAATATACGCAAAAAGTATGTGATGTACATACCAGCGGTCGGGAGGGAGGGAAGTCAGGACTCGGCAGAGTCAAAGGGATTATAATGTGACAAAAAGGATTGTTGGAAAAAGAATTACATGTTGAAAACAATAAAAAAAAATTTGCAGAATGAAACACTCTGGAAACGAGGCAGAGATAAACGGAGAATCAACATGCAAAGTGACTTTTTTTGTTTTTAGAAGAACACTTTTGTGCATAGGCTTAGTTATGGTCAGGCATCAGAAATGAGGGTGGGGGCTGTATCTGGCCCCATCTGCATTCCACATTAGAAGCAGTTTAGTACCACTTTAAACAGTTGTGGCTTCCCCCAGAGTCTGAAACTCCAGAGAGCTGTTGCCAGTCAGTACTGGGGAAGATGGGCCCGTGGTCTGGCTCTGTCTAAGACAGTTTCTTGCATTGCTCAGGCTACAGCCAGGAAGTCCTCAATGGCAACCACGATTGTGGATTTCTTTCTGGGCCTGGCGGCAGCTGACTTCTACTCTGAAGAAAAAGAGTTTTTTGGGGGTATTTACTTTCTGCTCTCCAGCCAGAAAAGCCCCCAAACTTGGGCTCTGACGCTTGTTCTTTGCTCTTTTCCTCCCTCGTTAAAATGATGGCACTGCAGCGCCTGTAAGATTATTCTCTTCTCCAGAGAAAGTACATTCTGTGGCTTTACTAATTGTTATTGTTATTATTATTTTTCTTTCTAAGCAGTTCCAGCTAATTTGGCAGGGGACAATTTGTCCCTTCTGGCAGCTCCATGTTCAGTGGGGCTCTTCCTGATGCTTTGATCATGCAGACACAACCACTGCCTGTGCCCTCCCCATAGCTGTCAACCGTCCCTTATTTGGCGGGAAAGTTCCTTATCCCAGCGCCGTGTCCCGCTGCTGTCCCTTATTGATTGCAAAGCGCAATTCAGTCTTCTGCGCATGCGCGACCGCCGAAACCCAGACGTACCGTATTTTTCGCTCTATAAGATGCACTTTTCCCATCCTAAAAAGTAAGGGGAAATGTGTGTGTGTCTTATGGAGCGAATGCAGGCTGCGCAGCTATCCCAGAAGCCAGAACAGCGAGAGGGATCGCTGCGCAGCACTCCCTCTCTGTTCTAGCTTCTGGCTTAGCCGTGCGAAGCCTCTTCAGGGCAGGGAGAGCCTTCATCCCGCTGCCCTGAAGAGGCTTTGCGCGGCTATCCCAGAAGCCAGAACAGCTGCGCAGCGATCCCTCTTGCTGTTCTGGCTTCTGGAATTCAGAATACCCCCCCCCCCATTTTCCTCCTCCAAGAACTAGGTGTGTCTTAAAGTCTGGTGCATTTTATAGAGCGAAAAATATAGTAACCCTTTCCGGTACTTCTGGGTTTCGGCGGTCCGCAACACACAAAAATGCAACCTGAAGCGTCCGTAACCCGAGGTATGACTGTAATCTTCTTGGCTTTTTTGGAAGCCCACTTTGAATGGTTTCTGATTCCCCCTTCTTTACAGGAAGGAGAGACAAACGAGAAGTGAGTTCACCGTGCATGTTGAATTTTCTGTTCTTTCTCGGCCTCTTAACGCAACTCACATGGCCATTATTTGCTCTTCTTTGCACAGGCTAAAAAGCACACTCCTGGTTCATGTCTGATATGGCATGGATGCACATGCACGAACGCCCCAGGTCTTGCCCGACAGCGCACCTATGTGATCTGTTTCATGACTTTCCCCCCCATCCTTCCTCCCTCCCTCTCTTAGGTGCACATAGGCTACCTCCCTAACAAACAGGTGCTGGGACTCAGCAAGCTGGCAAGGTAAGAACCTTCAGGTAATTAAAGTAATGCTGTTTGCTAAATTGGATTGCCTTGAGCGGAGTGTGTTTAGCTGCATAATCTGACCCTTTTCTAAGTGCCAGGAAGCTGTGCTGTTGTGTGTTAGCCTCCTAGTCTGGGGCAAGACTCACCTGCGAAAAGGATGCTTGCAGCTGTGAGTCTCTGTGCAGAGCACATCAGTTCATGACGGACGGATGCCCTGACAGACCAATTGTGTTAGTGCTACGCTGAATTCCTCCCTCTGCAATTTTGATAGGTGTGTTGTTATTGTTTAGTCGTTTAGTTGTGTCCAACTCTTCGTGACCCCATGGACCAGAGCACGCCAGGCACTCCTGTCTTCCACTGCCTCCCGCAGTTTGGTCAGACTCATGTTTGTAGCTTCGAGAACACTGTCCAACTATCTCATCTTCTGTCTTATATTTGTTGTTGTTGTTTAGTCGTTTAGTCGTGTCCGACTCTTCGTGACCCCATGGACCAGAGCACGCCAGGCACTCCTGTCTTCCACTGCCTCCCGCAGTTTGGTCAAACACATGCTGGTAGCTTCGAGAACACTGTCCCACCATCTCGTTCTCTGTCGTCCCCTTCTCCTTGTGCCCTCCCTCTTTCCCAACATCAGGGTCTTTTCCAGGGAGTCATCTCTTCTCATAAGGCGGCCAAAGTATTGGAGTCTCAGCTTCAGGATCTGTCCTTCCAGTGAGCACTCAGGGCTGATTTCCTTCAGAATGGAGAGGTTTGATCTTCTTGCAGTCCATGGGACTCTCCAGAGTCTCCTCCAGCACCAGAATTCAAAAGCATTAATTCTTCGGCGATCAGCCTTCTTTATAGTCCAGCTTTCACTTCTATGCATCACTGCTGGGAAAACCATGGCTTTTACTATATGGACCTTTGTTGGCAAGGTGATGTCTCTGCTTTTTAAGATGCTGTCTAGGTTTGTCATTGCTTTTTGATAGGTGTATGTTGGCCAATATTACATCCTTCTTTTTTTCAATTTTTAAAATTAATTTTCCAAATTTAAGACAAACACACAAAAAGAAAAAACAATACAGTATTAGAAATACAAACATATAAACACCTAACTGTTAAAGGTCCAATTTAGTTTACATTGTTAAATGACTTCCTCAAATCCCTCCTGACTGACTTTCAGTAAATCTCATTGTAACAGTTTTCCAATTTCTATTTTTCAATAAAATTTACTTATTCAAATTTCTATCTTCCTTCCTTTTCATAATATTTTCAGTCCATAATGTTATAAAATTCGACATATTTTAATCCTCGGCCAATTTGGTACCTACAAGTGATTCTACTTATGTTATATTTGAATATCTAGCTAAATAGTCCTTAAATTTCTTCCACTCTTCTTGATGTTCATCTTCTTTCTGATTGCAGATTCTTCCAGTCAGGTTGGCCAGCTCCAAAAAGTCCAACATCTTCATCTCCCATTCTTCCACTGTTGGTATTTCTTGCGATTTCCAATTTTTGGCTAACAAAATTCTTGCTGCAGTTGTGGCATACAAAAACAATCTAACATCTTTTTTGAGCAATTCCAGTCCTATTATTCCAAGTAGAAAGGCTTCTGGTTTCTTAATAAATGTCTATTTTAACATTTTTTTCAATTCATTATAAATCGTTTCCCAGAAATCTTTCACCTTGGGACACGTCCACCACATATGGTAAAAGGTGCCTTCTTTTTCTCTACACTTCCAACATGAATTCTCATTCGTATGGTAGATCTTTGCTAGTTTTACTGGGGTTAAGTACCATCTATACATCATTTTCATAATATTCTCTTTTAGTACAGTGCATGCAGTAAACTTAACCCCTTTCTTCCACAACCTTTCCCAATCTTCAAACATTATATTGTGTCCAACATCTCTTGCCCAATCTATCATCACAGATTTAACTTGTTCATCCTTTGTATGCCACTCCAACAATAAATTATACATTTTAGATAGGTTTTTGACATTAGTATCTAAAGACTCCGTTTCCAATTTGGTTTTTCCGATGCAAAACCATTTTTCTTGTCAAGCTTATACAATTCATTGATCTGAACATTACAGCCTTTTTTGCCACTTGGTTAAAAGCTTGTCTGCCCAGGCACTGTGTTTTAGTTGAAACTGCTTTCAGTGCTCCTTAGTTTAATGTCCTTTCTTTGCCTTCCATCTTTTTGCTGTTGGTCATTCCATATCCCTAAGCTGTGCGGATAGTTTCATTTTTGTGAATTGTCCTGGGATTTTCTGATACAAATTCAATTATAAAAAATGATTAAAAATAGCAAGCCACATGCTAACTTCCTGAAACAGTAAACCCTCAGTTCACAATTTGGACTGATACGGGACTCAGCTACATTAGTAAAAAAAACCCCGACATTTCAAATTTGTTATAAACATGGAACACCAGATGGCGCCAGAGAGCAAAACAAATTTGGTGTGATTTTTACATAGCGTTTTTTTCTTTTGTTATAACGATTCAAATTTCTGACTTGTTTATAGTGTTTCCCCCCTTGTGTGTAGATCCACCCATGGGCTGCACTGCTTATGTTCATTCTCCTGCTTTACTCAGCATCTTAATTAAATTTGACCTTTCACATTTCTTTACAGCCACTGTTTGCTCTTTTGATTTGATTTCTATACCACCCAATATATTAGAAATGTCAGAGCAGTGTACAAAAAAACCGAAGCAGCAACAAGCAACTCAATTTTTTTTTGCTTACAAAAATACACATGTAAATATAAAACTGTAACATTAATACAAAGTTACTAATATGTGTAAATCAATATCAATTCATTTTCCTTCTAACCCACCCTCTGGGTTCTCACTAGGGGTCCAAACAGCCTCTCAGCTCGCCCACAAAAATCTCACCATGAGAAAAGCTCCTGGAAACAGTGGACATCACCCCAGACTTGCCTTTTATGGGCAGGCCATAAAAGGGAGATGGTTCTTACTGCCCATAGCTGCCATTCAGCGCAATCCCCACACCCAGTTCCAGGTGCAGCAGAGTGGGAGAGGGGCTGTTGTGCTATTGGCCTGGTTGTGGGTTCCGCAGAGGCGAATGCAGGTGGCGCTGTGGTCTAAACCACTGAGCCTCTTGGGCTTGCCGATCAGAAGGTCGGCGGTTTGAATCCCCGCGACGGAGTGAACTCCCGTTGCTCTGTCCCAGCTCCTGCCAACCTAGCAGTTCAAAAGCACACCAGTGCAAGTAGATAAAGAGGTACCACTCCAGCGGGAAGGTAACTGGCGTTTCCATGCGCTCTGGTTTCCGTTACGGTGTCCCGTTGCGCCAGAAGTGGCTTAGTCCTGCTGGCCACATGACCGGAAAGCTGTCTGT